AGATGGATGTGAAGGGGTTAGACTTGGTATTTTCTGAAGTTCTTTATAGTACTATATTCTCTGGTATAGATCTTACCAACTAGATGAACTTCAGCAAGTTCACAGGAAGGTGAATACATAAGAAGTGCTTTTAATGAAATGCTATTAATGAAAATTTTGTTAAGCCCACTTTAACAAGGAGGGAGAGGGGGGACTGAAATAGGAAAAGGGGAAGGAAGAGAGGTGAAAGAAGTGGAGGGGAGAGGGAGAGAAGGAGAAATAGATAGAGAGAGAAAACAAAGAGGGACAGAGAAAGCACTGAATGAATCTATAATATGATCAGCCTTTCAATAAATGGGGAAAATTTGGGAGGGGTAGTTAGAGTTAGGGGTCACCCTGTGAGGTTTCTGGAGATTCACTGTGTAATGGGCCAGTATAATGGCCATGGCAGGATCTGTGTGCAGACTGATAAGCCTGCAATATCTGGCCTGTACCTGGCCCAGGAGGCCCAGCAGGTGAATCCAGCACTTGCAGGCAAAGACTGGACAGTTGTAAAAGTAGTTTGTGGCCATCTATACTCCACTTTAGGACCAACATGCAACACGTCTTCAATTGCATGAGGAATGACCCAGTGACACCTGGCAGAGTCCTCTGATAGTTTCTGTGAATGTAGTTTAATGATTTTGTTGCAGAATGAAGTTACGAAAGTCTTTTTTTATTAAGAAGGTGAGCATGACATTCCTTCCCAACAGGGCACTTATGCCATGCCCACGTGTGAAGATGAAAGTGTGTAGTTCTGGGCAAGAGCGGCAGTGGCGCAGCGTCCTGCAACAGACTCAGACTAATCTGCTTTAAGCTCCACTATGACCTACATTAAAAGTGGCAGAATCTGATGGAGCCGAATATGGAATTGCTTTTAAACCCCACTTGTTCTAAATCCCGGAGCCTATACAACCAAGTCTCTCACGAAGGAGGAAGTGTTTCTGACCATCTCTTTGAGAAATCAAATATTGTTTTATGTAGAGCTAACAAATAAACAAAGATTTGTGCTCCCTCTGCTGGTTCCCTCCAGCATTATTAACGTGGCAAGGAACCATAAACAGTGTTGGCATCTTCAACATATGCCGCCAATTCTAGAATACTGAACTGAACCGTTCATTTAACTTGGGTCCAGGCATTCTTTGAAGAAAATCCATCCTTATCAAATTCTGACAAAGGTACTTGGAAATTCTTAAAATAAAGTATTAAATGAGACATACCTATAGTCCTTTACTACCAAATTGGAGCTGTGACTGTAATAATGATTTGAGGATTCATTTGTCAATAGACCTAAGTGGATTCCGCCAAGATTTTAAGGTCCAGACACAATCTTTAAAGTGGTTCTGGAAAAAAAATTCAACTCTAAGCTAAAGTTTCTTTTTCTTTCTTTGTTTCATAAGAGCAGCTTCTAAAAAGGAAAGATTCATACTATTTATATCCTTTCCGATAATGTCAAACATTACACTTGATTTTCCAAATCATTAGCATGCAGAAGAATGACCTCATGGTGAACAGATGCACTTGGCTGTGAGCTGCAGTGATTACATCAGTCCCTCCCAGCAGTGGAGGGTGCCCATTCCAGTTAACCCTTTAAAGGCCTTTCTGTTGCCCCCCCCTTCCTTGGAAACATGTTTGAAAATACAAAGTCACTCCCTAACATGTGTATGTTAACTGCATGTTATATACACACACACACGAGTTATATACATACACACACGTGAGAGAATATATATATACACAATATATATGTATATATATACACAACAATATATACTGTACACACACATCTACATACTTAGACATACATGTTTGTGTTAACTATAGCTGGTATTTTATACTGGCTACCTTTTAGATACTGCTGGTCAATAAGGAAAGAATCAATAAAGGAAGACAAACCACAAGCCCTTGGTAAAAAATAAAACCAGCTCAAATACCTATTCTGCTCTGTGCACCATCAATATAAGTAATAGATGAACAGATTTGAGGATCTATGTGGTATTTTACTTCAATCTGACTGGTCAATTAGATTTTTAAAGATCTTTTAAAACTGCTGAGCACTAGCATATAAGCCCAACAACAAAAGACCCTGCAACCTTATCTGTGGTTGACAGTGAATCATGAAGAAGTACATTTCTTGGTCATTGTGCCCCTTGATGGAGGCCTTGGTACCAAGGTACAGCACTGGGACAGGGTTGCTTAGGAGAGGGGCTTGTCCAACAGTGGCATCTCTGGACACGCCACTCTCCTTAGCACACCTTTTTCTTTTACCAAGGACTTAAGGGCCAGTAGTAGAGGCCTTTCCTCTAGAAATGGAGGCTGCCTGCTGCCACACAGTGTGGAATGAATACAGTGTTCAGGTTACTCTCCTGCGCACTGACAACAAAGCCCTCCTGGTTAGGATGCAAAGGAAACCGGGGAGCCCCTAATTCCTCACATTGTGCATATGCATGTGAACAGGAGCCCAAGCCCTGCTTTGATGACTCTGCTTGCTGAGCTGATCTGATTGGGTCCTAAGTGTACTGTGGGAGCTTAAGCTGCTCAGGGTCAATTTTTCTAGTTGGCTTGTTGCTTAGGAGAGCAGACTTCACCTCGATGTCTTAGTTTAAGCTGGCTGGCTCATCTGGGTTTGATAGTACTTGCCCCAAGAAAATTAAAACAAAACAAGACACTGAAAAAAGGAAAAATGTCTTCACCTGTGAGAGAATGGGAGGGGATACTCCAACACAAAGGTGTTTATAGATGTGAGGATGTGCTTTTGAAATGTACACGTGTGATACAGAAATGCTCCCCCCTCACTTATTGCCCCAACTCTCAGTTCAAATCAAGGTCACGCCTAGGTCCTTCTTAGTCATTGTTGTGAGCAAAGCATAACGGAGAATAGTACTCACAGACTTAACATCACATTCATGGGTTGGTGTGAGGTGTGTGTAAAAACTTCTACCACTCCACTGAACAGCCTAAACCATGAATGCTGTGAAATGGAATAATGCTGCTAATAAGTTTTCAAAGGAAGGACTAGCACTTGTCCTGGTGCCCTATCTTTGATTTCATGTTCCCTTTTAACAGGTCCCAGTGTCCACTCTTGTTAACTGTCAGAAACTTCATCTGTTAAATGACTGGCAAATGTGATGTTCTTGAAGATGTCAGCAATTCTTCCTAAACAGCTGGCAGTCAAAAACTTAAATTTCTCTGGGAGTTCAATTTAAGATGCTGACTACACATTAATTCACTTAAATTGGCTTAACTAATTATAAATTTTTGGAAACAAGTTATAGAGAGGCTAAACTATCCATAGAAATTAAAGTCCATCAATATTTATCTCAACAAAATCTTAATCAAGAGCCTTAAGAATGTAACAGGTATGGAATATAAAAACTGAGCTATTATTTAATTTCTTTCAATCTTAAAAAAAATGTTTTCTTAAGTTAAATCCTGCACTGAAAAATTAATTCCCAGCACCTCATGAGGATGGAAAAAGCACAATGAGGTCTTTAAAAAGTAGCCTTGCTACAGATCCTTCATGTTCCTTCACCTAAAAATCAGAAACAAATTAAACCTCTAGTCAGACTGGTATGAAATCTCAATCTCCCTTCAAACTGATTTTTTTCTTCTTTGGTTTTAGAGAGAATGTTGGCAGAGTGTATAAAAGAATTCAATTCACAGCTGTTCTACTTTTTTAATGTAAGAAACATTAATCAAAGCCGTAAGTTATAAGCTTTTCTAGTGTTGTTTAGATATTCCAGTTCAACAAAGATCAATAGAGGCCATCCTGTGTTTCTTGACACCTCACCAGGAAGCAGAGGCGTGATTATGTAAATCACACCGGCTCCCTTACCTCGGCCAGCTTGCTTATCTCCCAGGCCTTCTGCCTGCGCTCCTGGCTCTCTGTGCAAGTGCAAGCCTCTCTCTCTTATCTCCCAACAAAGCTCGGAGAGGCAAGGATTGAAGCCAGCGATGTTAAACAATGATGCATGGCTGATTTTATTTGTAAGAGATTTATTTCACTGAATTTAATTTTTTCCACTTTGTATGTAAGATATTTGTTAACAAGTCAGAATAGGAGAAGTAGGGCAGTGTTCAGAGACAATTGACACAGGTTAGAAATCTATTAAGCACTCTAACAGTTGTGTCTGCATCAGTGGAAGGAGGAGGAAGCCCCTCATTGAGAATTTCAACATGCATTGACTAAATATCCCATTTACTCTCTGAAAGGCAATTAATCTGTAATTACATGCAGAAATTTACAAGTAATTCTATTCTTTAGGAAAAAAAAACCCCACAGTAATCATATAATCAGTGTAAGTGGCAGCACACGTTTTGTTTTCAAATTGTAAACATGAAAGAATAAAACCTAAAAATAAGGAAATTCATGTGAATGTCTGAACTTTTCCATGAGCGTAACAAACAGAAACCATTGAAAACCAGTTTCTGCTCTGGTTCCACACCAGGTGCTGCTCCGGGCAGCAGCTTGTCCCTGCGCAGGCCACTCCAGAGAGAAAGCGCACGCTGCATTGCTGTAATGATGGACCAGGGGACACTGTCCTTCCATTTCTCCTGCATTAATCCCTGACCCGAGTATCTTGGCAGCCTAATCCCCATTTAGCATTAGTAGCAACGGCTTCGACTGTGAGGAACTCTTTTTTGATAAGTAAGCACTGATTCGGGCACCGCTTTTAAACAACATATTCCCAGCTCAGCAAGAAATCCACACTCCTGAATGAACCCGAGCACATTACTGAGAAAAAGTTCATTAACCTTGCTAGATTCGGAGGTTAACAGGATAGCTGAAGAAAAGAACCGAGTGAACAGCTCGGATACAAAACAAATTAAAATGAATGTCATCATTCCTTTTGATATTCATTAGTTGATTCAGAGGGAGAATGCTCTTCTTAAATTTGCAAGCATTTATCTGTGAAAAACAGGTGTACATCTGCTGCTCGAGTGCATCTTAAACGCGTGAGGGGAGAATAATGTAGACTCACCCGTTCCACTGAGGGAGTAGCTGGGGCAGGGAGAAAAGACTTGGGCTGCGAAATCCTCGAATGTCATTACTTCACGGTGGTTCTGAATTATTGCTTCAAGGTACAGAGCTCGCTCTTCGTAGCTGCAGTAATTGGTTAAGGAAGCAAGTGCAAGTGTAGAAGGACACACGTAACAGTGGCATCCACTTTGTTTTAAACACATCAGGCAACTTTTGCAGTTGTATATGGGAGAAATGTACCATGTAATTTCATTTACATCCTGTCAGAAAATTAAGTTATCAGCCATCACTAGTGGTAAAATTATGATTTTCAGACCTAAGTTTCTCTTAAGAGTATGATTGCATCCTACACTGGTATCAGTAAAAAAAAATAAAAAAATAAAAAAAAAGTGTACACAACAGTTACAAAATCACATCAAAACATTTTTAAGGTTGAGTCCAACAAACAGAAACACTGATTGTTCTACCATCTCTTTCCACTAACAACTCGGGGACAATGTTGGGTTTGTCTTTTCCCAGTTACTACTTCTTCTCGGCCTCCTGATAAGAATGGGCGGTGCAATGGTGCGTGCACTTTAAATAAAATAAGAAAACACACGTCACTGCGAAGAGGCGAGGCCAGGAAGGTGTGCTCTGAGGGGCACTAGGGCTAAGACTGGCTAGGAGCATTAGAAAAGAAGAACTAATAAGTGGGAGAATCTAGCAGAGAGTGCACAATGCAATAAAAAAAAAAAGACTATTGCCTTTTAATTAAAACTGCAGTCTGGAACACACGCATTCAAATGTGTAATCAAAAACCAGTCACCAATAAAACTTACAAGCGTAACACACTGAAGCAACTTTCCAGCTGTCTTAATAGGACCCCTGCGTGTGGGAGCCATTCACAGGGCAGAAAGCAAATCTTCCCCTTTTGTGTGTGGCTTCTGTTTCCTCAGAAGGTGAATCATGCACTTCCAATAACAGGATAACGTCAGAACAATCTGACAGCGGATGGCGGCACCACACTTACGACTTTATGAATTAACACTTGGGGAAGTCAGCGTGATATCTCATTTTCCCTTTCCTTATTATCAATGCAAAAGTTAAGGGACCAGTTTTTGTTATTTTGAAGATCATGCTCATTCTCCAAGAACACAGGGGATGCGGATCACCACCAGCTTATTTTATTTGAAATTGCATTTATTATCGGTAGTTCCAGAAGAACAAACGTGACCCCAGCATTTCTTACTATATTTTAATACTTTTCTCAAAATGGCCTCTGTAAAAAGAAGTCAGTATAACATGTGTTTTAATAGAGGAAACTATTTCTATTTTCTTTTGGCATACTGATTTCTCAATGCAGGATCTTCTTTCCCTGCTCCCAATTATAATCACAGGAAGATTTTCACACTGTGAGACCAGAGGTATCCTAGGGCTGTGCTGGCCATTGTGGCCATGACCACCACATGGGGCCAGCTCAGTTTAAATTCAAATTAATTCAAATGATAAAAAAGTAGAACTTCAGCTCCTCTGTCCCGCCAGCTTAATTTCCAGCACTCAAGAGCCACGTGTGGCTAGGAGTCGCCATTCTGGATCACACAGAGAACCCACTGCATTACTGGGCAGTGCTGTGCTAAAAATTCCCCTTAAGCGTGCTCTCTGCAACTTCTGAAAAGAAAAGTGAGTTTGAATGTTTCAAAAGTGGTTACTGTGATCACTTCCATAGATGGTCACAACAGCCTAGGCAGCATGAACCTGAATTGGCTTCTTGACTGAGCTGAGCTGGTGACTGGCCTTAACGAACAGGCTCAGTGAGAGGCGCCTGTTCAGGCCCAATTCTAGAGGGACCCACTAAATGCCATGCACGCCTCATTATGAACACACTTATTCTGCACAGCACTTGGCTGTCGCCACGACTCGCCCTCCGTGCATGGCCCCAGCAAGCCGCTGGTCCGGGGAACAGCAGGACGTTAGGCCTGAGTGGCCGTCTGGCGAACAGGCACTCTGACACTAAGCTGGCACGTGCTGGCCCAGCAGGGGCCGAGCGAGGCGTGACAAATTACTCAAAGAGCTGAGCTAAACTTATGTCTGACAACCACCTGAGCCTTCGGACAGCCGTGGCCCGCTGTCAATGCTCAATTCATGGCTCCCCCTTCCAGCCCCAGTCTGCTTGTGGGCCTGGTTAGAGCAGGAGCATCCCTCTAAAGACCTGTCATGCTCCGCCTGGAATCATCCTGCTGTTTCCTGAGAGGCCCCACTGCGCCCAGGACATCCACATACAGTGTTGGGGACAATGCCGAACAAAATAGAAATGGGAATACATTTTGCTAAGTACACTATGGAGGCTACGTATCTGCAAGAATGGCTATTGTGCTGATCAAACTCAGGGTCAAACTTGCAAACGGGTGCTGTGCACAAGTCCTATAAAGTGACCCCAGACAGCAGTCTGTCATGCTCACCCCGGATGACACTCTCTAGTTGTCATACGCTTTTCCTTGTCAAGGCTGAGAAATCCTGAGAGCAAGTCCAGTCCTGGGGTGACAGTGGGCAATGATCAAGTTTTGAGGTTCTCTGATTCAATGATTATTTATGGATTGACTCCTAAATTAAGGAGATAGTACAGAAAAGGTGCTTCTGGAACTGGATGCTAAAGGAGGATGTGTTTACTTCATGGAAGGCTTCTGCTCTCACCACTCATGCCCCCGACTGCCACACACAGCACACATTCCCGCCCCTGCCAGGCAGGTCCTATGCTGTTGCATAAGCATTAACGGTGCTAAACTGGGTGTTGTCATTTAGACAAACATCCATTAGGAGCTGGGTGAGACCAGGGGATCCTAAAGGCATTTGCACTGTGGCCCAAGCCAGGGCATGTAAACACCATGACAAAGAGAAAATAAACACCCCAACTCCGGCAGTGTTTAGAAACAGCCAAGTTGCTTGTGGGTGCCAAAAATCATTTCTTTTGGTAGCTAGAAAACAAAACAAAACAAAACAAAACTGAAGCCTGGAATTTTAACTGGATTTATTAGAACTCCAAACAAGGGCAATTAGGAGCAGCATCACCTGACATTTTCTTACCTAATATCCCTAGGCTTTGATGTTGGTTGCTTTCTATAACAGAAAGTCACCTCTAATTTAGACATCAAAAAGCTTATAAGATTCTTCTCTTGAGTAAGATATGTTAAGGTGTGAACCAAATACCGGAATAATTCCGGGCAATGGATGGTCAGTGACCTTTACCGGAAACAGGCAGCCAGTGAGGCAGCTGGTCACAAATCCAACATCAGTTTCAATAGTAGAGACCGCTCTTTTGTTCTCGTCAAAAAAGTCCATCAACAAATGTGAAACTTTGGTTCTGTTCTGAATTACTACCTCATTAAAAACCACACAAAGTACTTTACCCTTGATTACTCAATTCAGAGAATAGCCATATTACTAACTAGAAAAACATCTTATTTCTGCATTTCTTTCAAGACCCACTCTGTTTGCACTTTCACATAAGAATTTTATCAATTATCACTATTCTTCACTTGAGTTAAGAACCCATGGTCTTTGTTAGTTACATTTTATCCAAATATCAAGAGAAATTTCCCAGACCCTCAAGATAGCTGCTGCATTACAAGAGCCTTAGATCTAAATCCAGTTCCCAACTTTATTCTGATTATTTGCTTTTTTTCTTAAATAATAGCAACAGTAATTGGAAAGATATGGAAACAACCCAAATGCTCAAAAGCAGATGACTGGATTAAAAAGATGTGGTACATATACACACTGGAATATTACTCAGCAACCAAAATAAATAAATAAATAAATAAACACATGCCTTTTACAGAAACATGGATGGAGCTGGAAAAGATCATGCTTAGTAAAATAAGCCAGAAATAAAAGGAAAAATACCAGATGGTTTCACTCATAGCAGGAGTATAAAGGACCAAGGGAGAAAATAATGAACAACTATATACCAGAGACATTTTACTGGGGTGGAGTGGAGAATGGGATCAAAAATGGGGGGTGGGGGAGAGGGAAATGCACTGGACTATGGTGATGGCACATGGGTGATTTGGTGATGGGAAGCCCACGGGGATTACAACTGAGATGGAAAAAGGCACAAAATGATGTAAAAATAAACTATTATATTATTAAAAAAATAATAGCAGCAATATGCAGTCAGGAAGGAGTTTGTATTTTGCAGGAAGATAGGCTTATATTTGTCCTTGTTAATCACTTTGATGAAACAAATGTGAAAGGTGGCCTCACAGAAGACAGTGGCTCCAGGCACTGCTGCTGGATCATTTATTCATGGAGGACATTGTGAAGAGAAACAGAACCCATTCCAGGTGCAGTTCTGGAAGGATCAAGATTTCCATTTTGACAAGCGACAGTGTTGTTTGTCCCTGATGGCATTTACAACATACCTGGAAAGATAGGCAAGGTGATAAGTATTCCATGAATTGAGGGGCTAGACTGCCCAGGGCCCCTTATGGTTGGAGAAGCAATCAGGTTTCTCAAGCAACTGGGAATTATGGTAGGTTTTTAGACAGATAAACTGTAAGATCTGACCTATATTTGAGAGATTACGTGGTGGGCAAAGGGCCTATGTGGAAAGGCTTAGAAGGGAGACTACAGGAAGAGAAATTAATCAGAGAGAGGACTTGGGTCTCAAAAGCATAATGGTGAGGGGAAGGGAGTGGAGGCGTCAAATTGCAGGGTTGCTCCTGGGGGTAGACCCAGACGGTGTTCAGGTGCTCACTACTGGTGAGAGAGAGAAAAGGCAGCTAAAACTCTGGCTTAGGTGATCATGGCATAAGTGATCAAGTAAAGGGTGCAGGTGCCTATGTGGAGAGTTGAGTTAATGCTGAGGGCCCAAACAAGTGTCTGCTGAGAAAGAGTTGGGGAAGAGATGGCTGTGTCTCAGCACAGAGGCCTGCACTGGAGATAAGAGCTGAGTCATGGGTTTGGAGATGATCTTGGAAGAGAGAAAGGGAGAATGCTGGGAGCTCCCTCCTCCCCTCTTGATAGGGTGGGCAGATGCAAAGGAAGAGCAAAGGGAGATGGAGGAGGGGTACAGGGAGAAAGTGGCCTACATAATAATGAACATCTATATACCAGAGATATTTTACTGGAGTGGAGTGGAGAATGGG